CAATAGCGCCTGTATAGCCCCTCTTCTTTTATGACGAGTTTACCCTCGTCTCACAAGAAGTTCATTAGTCACGGTATTGTACCTTTTCGTTAGTTATTCATTAGTGTTTCTGTGTATGAAACATAACATTATTAATGGTGCAACCTCCAGATGGATCAAGGTCCACTCCTGCTTTTTTTGTTGTTGTTGGAGGTGCTGCTGGAATTCTTTCTGGCGAGTTCTTTGATGCTGGTGCTGGAGGCAATGGTGATGCTGGTGCTGGAGGCAGTGGTGATGCTGGTGCTGGAGGCAGTGGTGATCCTGGTGCTGGAGGCAGTGGTGATGCTGGTGCTGGAGGCAGTGGTGATACTGTTGCTGGAGGCAGTGGTGATGCTGGTGCTGGAGACAGTGGTGATGCTGGTGCTGGAGGCAGTGGTGATGCTGGTGCTGGAGGTAATGGTGATAGTGGTGCTGGAGGCAGTGGTGACGCTGGTGTTGGAGACAGTAGTGATGCTGGTGCTGGAGGCAGTGGTGACGCTAGTGCTGGATGCAGTGGTGATGCTGTTGCTGGAGGCAATGGTGATACTGGTGCTGGAGGCAGTGGTGATGCTGGTGCTGGAGGCAGTGGTGATGCTGGTGCTGGAGGCAGTGGTGATGCTGGTGCTGGAGGCAGTGGTGACGTTAGTGCTGGATGCAGTGGTGATGCTGTTGCTGGATGCAATGGTGATACTGGTGCTGGAGACAGTGGTGATGCTGGTGCTGGAGACAGTGGTGATGCTGGTGCTGGAGGCAGTGGTGATGCTGGTGCTGGAGGCAGTGGTGATGCTGGTGCTGGAGAGTGGTGACGCTAGTGCTGGAGGCAGTGGTGACGCTAGTGCTGGAGGCAGTGGTGACGCTAGTGCTGGAGGCAGTGGTGACGCTAGTGCTAGAGGCAGTGGTGATGCTGGTGCTGGAGGCAGTGATGATGCTGGTGCTGGAGGCAGTGGTGATGCTGGTGCTGGAGGCAGTGGTGATGCTGGTGCTGGAGGGGAGTGGTGATGCTGGTGCTGGAGAGTGGTGACGCTAGTGCTGGAGGCAGTGGTGACGCTAGTGCTGGAGGCAGTGGTGACGCTAGTGCTGGAGGCAGTGGTGACGCTAGTGCTAGAGGCAGTGGTGATGCTGGTGCTGGAGGCAGTGATGATGCTGGTGCTGGAGGCAGTGGTGATGCTGGTGCTGGAGGCAGTGGTGATTTTGGTGCTGGAGGCAGTGGTGATGCTGGTCCTGGAGGCAGCGGTGACACTAGTGCTGGAGGCAGTGGTGACGCTAGTGCTGGAGGCAGTGGTGATGCTGGTGCTGGAGACAGTGGTGACGCTAGCGCTGGAAGCAGTGGTGATGCTGGTGCTGGAGGCAGTGGTGACGCTAGAGCTGGAAGCAGTGGTGATGCTGGTGCTGGAGACAGTGGTAATGCTGGTGCTGGAGGCAGTTGTGACGCTAGCGCTGGAGGCAGTGGTGATGCTGGTGCTGGAGGCAGTGGTGATGCTGGTGCTGGAGGCAGTGGTGACGTTAGCGCTGGAGGCAGTGGTGACGCTATTGCTGGATGCAGTGGTAATGCTGTTGCTGGAGGCAATGGTGATACTGGTGCTGGAGGCAGTGGTGATGCTGGTGCTGGAGGCAGTGGTGACGTTAGCGCTGGAGGCAGTGGTGACGCTAGTGCTGGATGCAGTGGTGATGCTGTTGCTGGAGGCAGTGGTGATGCTGGTACTGGAGGCAGTGGTGATGCTAGTGCTGGAGGCAGTGGTGATGCTAGTGCTGGAGGCAGTGGTGATGCTAGTGCTGGAGTTTACAACTATAACTGAAGTTAGGGGAAAGTACAGTTTTGTTAAAGTTAGTTGTATGTTATTCGATTCCTTTGTAAGATGTATTGGATTACAAATCCTAAATATCATAAGTACTGAAGACCACCCTACCCTTCATATTAATGTCGTGGTCTGAAGGGTAATTAATGGATTTGGTCATCTTCGTTACTTTATCTTATATTTTAAAAGAGAGTGAACTTCCACACTTACAAAACAGTAGATCTTAAAATTAGAAGTTTTCCATTCTGTTCTTTCAGCGTGAGTGTGATTGTGGGGTCCATGTTGTTCACTTTATATAATCAGTAACTTGGAGAGGCTGAATCTGCTCTGAACTATAACTAAGATGTCATCTATGTAACGAAGCCATGTGACCTTTGATGTGATAGAAGACGTGAATATCGTAACTTCTAAATGTTCCATGCATAAGATGGTTAAAATAGCACTGATGGGTGATCTCCACAGACATACCAAAACACTGCCTACACAACTGTTCGACAATAAACAATTACAATTAACGCAATTCAGTAAAATCCGTAAATGATTCTGGGAGATCCCAGTTTTCCTTAGCAGTGACAGGACCGTTTTTTTTTTTTTGGTGCATTGGTCAACAAGGAAGTGACGTCAAGCCTTACTAGATCTTTTTGGTTTTTGTTTATATTAATGTCCTTGATACAGTTGATAAGGTCGTCTGAGTGTTTTGCAATGTGGAAAGGTCTTTGGCTTGGGCATTTGCTAGTTCGTGTGGAGCACTTGTAACTCATATATTCTAGCAGATTTGTGGTTAACTGAAATGATATAGAAGAGATTCTTCCCATATTTAGCGTGCTTTAAAACTCTCCAATCATTAGCGAGGAAAGTCGTGTGGAACCAGTTAACTCTCTTTCAATGTATAGGTTCACAGGTGGTATGGACACTGAGTACATCCTATATTTGAGACGTGTAATCCAAATTGTTGTAAATAACAACACATTTATCCACTGTTGTCACCTGAGGCTAGTTCCTTAAGGTCAACAACGTTGAGATATGCAGTGGTGGGTTAAGTAACCTCAAAGACGGCAGCTGTAATAATCTCTTGTACGAAATCTTTTTTTTTAACTCGCTATCTTGGTACCACCATTAATTTTTTAGTGACAAGGCTGAGTTCTTGCTTGAGTATTGAAGCCCGGTGGCCAACGTCACACCCAGGCTTAAGAGGTCAATTACGATACTAGTGAGAACACTAGATGGAAAACAGTTGAAGAGTTAGGTTCTGCCCATGGTGCTCTACTTGATACATCCGTATAGAGCTGCTCCATTTACAGCGGAGGCAACTTCATTGCGGAGACTGAGGCATGTAGTGCGTGTATTTTTCAGAACATTTCTCTGGAGTTGATGAGAATATATACCGAGCATTCCTTGAACGGGAACGCACGGTGAGTTACATGGAGTGACTGCAACCGGTGAAGTGTTATTCCATACGCTGTATATGTGTCATTATTCACCTGTCGTTATTAGTTATTTTGTATTGTGAATTATTATATGAGCAAATTACCTGCAGGTAACTTGGGTGAGATAAGTGGGACTTAATTAAGTCACAGTAGGTCGCAGGACTGTTACTCCCTCGATGCCCACTTCACCACTCTCACAAAAAGCTAGACCTGACATTAAATTAATGATTACAATATTAAAACCAGCTACTCTGGTAAATTAAAATTGTGGACTGTATATGATTAGGCTTGCTGGGTACATAAAAGAAATTCGTGTTACCACTTACCATTTAATTACTGTAGATGGATCACACCACAACACCGGACTAACACCTAGACCCTACACTGGCCAGTTAGAGATCTAAGTGAAAGAAATAATGGTGCACTCCCCTATGAGTGATGGGCGTATCCCTTATCTTCCGCCATCCACACGTAATTCTTGAGGTCCTGCAAATTTCCTGTTCCAGTTCTTCAGCAGGGGACATTAACATAAGCTTCTGTTACAAATTAAGGCCGAAAAACCCCAATTTGGCTACGAAGACGCCGGATTATTAGCTGAATTTTCCGCGACAACCAGTGTTCACAAATTACAAATGGCGTCTCCCTCCTGATCACTCAGCAGCTGTCCTACATCCCCGCACTCGAAATTTCTCGAAAGGGTCAAATCAGCATCATATTTTATTACACAATTATTGCTTTATTCAAATTGACACATTCTGAATTTTTGAAAAGTCAAAATTTTCCACATCTTGTGTGATTTACATTCTAATTAATGCTGGATTACATTATTTACAGGTTTCAGGAAAGTATAAGCTAACAGTAAAATGTTATCAACATATTAACCACATTATGAAAGTCCTGCAGTAAGCTGTATCACTGAACATTATACTTTCCACTGCATTTGTAAAGAAATGGTTCAGTGGGTATGGGATCACGCTGTATAACATAGGAAAGGTCGCCTATTGGACAAGATGTAGGGTGTTATAGGTAAAGAAACTCAGGGACCTTATACCCATAATTACTAAAGTCATGAAGAGATATAAAGTTAGATCACAACACAGTGTTACATGACGGAACTTATGGCAATACTGAGTTACCTAAGTTGCATGAGAGATTTGATACAGAGAGAGTTTGCAATATTAAATCTTTGTTCTAACGGCTATTCGCTGAGGACTGACCTTGAGCTTAACTGTACTGAGAATAAAGACTGCAAGTTGCGTCATTTTACATGAGCACTGCATCAGGCCTATTGGCCCTTGCTAGGAAGGTCTATGCATGTCAGTTTGATAAGTAAGACATATGTGCAACAATTAGGTATTATTATTCCGAAACATTTTGCTTACACAGTAGACTTCTGTAGTCGCGTACAGAAAAGTTAGCGGAAGCAGTAGAGATGTGAAGACGATGTAATCAGTCCATCACCCTTGAAGATGTAGCTTTGAGGTGGTCAGTCTCAGACTATGGAGCAAATCTTTTCTCCAGGATGAGGGACTGATCACCTCAAAACTACGTCTTCAAGGGTGATGGACTGATTACATCTTCTTCACATCTCTACTGCTTCTGCTGACTCCTCTGTACTCGACTGAAGAAGCCTACTGTGTAGGCGAAACGTTCCGGAATAAAGATAGCTAACTCACATGTGTCTTACTTATCAAACTGTCGGTATTGTATACCATTACCATATTCACTACTTGTCAGTGTTACCACTAAAGTGGCTTACCTTCATAGCGATGTCTTGACGGTTGCTCTGGTAGTAGTTCCTCCACAGTGTTGCCAGTGGCTTGTCTACGCACCCTTCACCTGTAACAGTTATTACCTGGTTAGTGTTTATAAGATGTAACTCTTATTGTAGTAACATCATGATGCTTATTCATTTAAACATCATTCTACCTAATCGTGTTATGCATCACTTGATACACAGCAGTTATGACACAGCCTTAACACCATAATAGACATGATGGTTATGACACGACACATTAAGACCACGATCGTCTAGTGTAGCCTATTACCCAACACTAAGATAAGGTAAACTGTTATGTGGAAAATGGTATAAAATGGTATAAAATGGTACAAAATGCCGACAAGTTGACAATTAGGACACATGTGCAGACCATCATGCTGAACTCTTCTCTAGGGACTGACCACCTCAAATATTTCTCTGAGGTTAATGGGCTGATTACATCATCTTCATTTCACTACTACACCTACTACCTCTATATTTGACTGAAGAAGTCTACTGTGTAGGTGAAACGTTTCAACAATAAAGATACCAAACCGTTGCACATGTGTCTTAATCATCACAAGGTAAACTCTTATAACATTGTTATATATATATATATATATATATATATATATATATATATATATATATATATATATATATATATATATATATATATTATATATATATAAGTGAAATCACGAAACAAGTGATTTTAAATCATTTACCAAACTGCGGCAGGCCAGGACTCGACCCTACGAACCTTGTACCGCCTCCAGAGACAGAACAATGCACGCATCACCTTACCACTACGCCACTGATCCTACAAGAATCAAGCACACAGCACGTAGCTATGTGTTCGCCTTGGCCCCGAGGACACTCGTGGCAATGGTATCTCAAGGATTAATTTCAGCCTCAGCCTGTTTGTTCTGTCTCTGGAGGCGGTACAAGGTTCGTAGGGTCGAGTCCTGGCCTGCCGCAGTTTGGTAAATGATATATATATATGTCGTGCCGAATAGGCAGAACTTGCAATCTTGGCTTAAATAGCAACGCTCATCTTGCCATATAGGACAAGTGAAAATTTGTGTTTGCAATAATTTCGCCAAAATCATTCTGAACCTAACGAAAAAAATGTATTTCACTGTGTTTGTTTAGTATTAAATTATTGTAAACAAATCTAAAATATATTTAGCTGGGTTAGGCTAAAATAAATTGTTCTTGTTATAATAAGGTTAGGTAAGTTTTCTAAGATTCTTTTGGTGCAAAATTAATAATTTTTACATTAACATTAATGAAAAAAATATGTCTTTAAATGTATAAGAGAAAATTTTAGAAAGGACATAATTTTAAATGAGTTCTTGCTAATTGACCAGTTTTACATATTCGGCACGACATATATATATATATATATATATATATATATATATATATATATATATATATATATATATATATATATATATATATATATATATATGCTAAATATGTAAAATTAGTCATTTACCAAGAACTAATTTAAAATTAAATCATACATTTAATGATATATTTTTTCATTTATGTTAATGTAAAAATTAATAATTTTTTATCAAAAGAACCTTAGAAAACTTACCTAACCTTATTATAACAAGCACAATTTAATTTAGCCTAATCCAGCTAAATATATTTTAGATAAGTTTACAATAATTTAATAATAAACAAACAATGAAATATATTTTTTTCATTAGTTCAGAATTATTTTTGCGAAATCTGTGAGAAATTACCTGCATGAGGTTTACAGGTATTAACCTGAATTATTACATGCAAGTAAATTGGGTTAGGTGTAACTACGATAATACTCATTAATGTTAGTTTCACCTCAGAGCTAGGTGGAACTTCAGGTACAGAAGGTCGCTGTAGTGAGTATCTCCTTCGATGCTCACTCACTATAAAACCGCACTCACAGTGAGACCTATTATTAAATTAATAATTATCAATTAACAAAACCAGTAACACTGGAAACTATATGTGGACTGTATATGATTTTAGGACCTGACTGTTGGAAATGTTTAATGGGAATATTTTTACAGACTAGGAAAACTTTTTTTCCAACTTAACAGTATTACAATAATAAATTTTATACACATATTTTACCATTTATGTCACAGGTGGAACACACCCCAACACCTACCTAACAAATAGACCCCACACTAGCCAGTGAGATATCTAAATGAAAGGGATAATGGCATACATACTTGCATGAGTGACGGCATCACCCCATTTGGCAGTCACCACCTTATTATGATGGTTTCGTAAATTTCCTGTCCCTATTCTTCAGCAGGGAACATCAATAATGGTTCCCGTTACAAATTCAGGCTGATCCATTCAGTTATGGCCTTGATGATGCCGGATTAAAACTTCACCCTTAGCACAAACTAATGCACACATTAATTATGAGGGTCTCTCCCTGTATTACTCCCCGGCCGCTGCACACTCTCCTTCACACAAAATTTCTTGAAGGGTCAAATCAGTGTTACATTTTAATACACAATTATTATATTATTCAAATTTACACATAGAGAATTTAGGAAAATTTTTAAAAATTTCCACAAAATTATTGCGTACACAATTTTTTTATATATTTTTTTTAATTCAGCAAAAAGAGCATTGCTATTTAAGCCAAAATCGCAAGTTTTACTTATTCGGCACGATATATATATATATATATATATATATATATATATATATATATATATATATATAATATATATATATATATATATATATATATATATATATATATATATATTTGTGTGTGTTTCTGCGACGTCACCCTCACCGCATCACACTACGACCCCACACCCGATGTCACCCCACAACCTCACGCCTGACGTCACCCCATGACGTCATGCCCCACATCACACCATAATGTCACACTATAATGTCACGCCACGATGTCACACTGCTAGTGTTATTTTGCTATTTCATAGAGAACACTTTAAAGTATTTTACATTTATCTCTAGAAAATTAAACAGAGAAAAATGTTGAAGTGTTTAGTGTTGCGCAGTCAGTGTTGCATACCATTGTTCCATAACCACTTGTTCTTAAGTGCTGCTTTAGTGTTAATTTATGCACAGAAAATCATCATTTTGATGGTGCAGACAATAATGTAACCATGATACCCCATGTTCAGTTGCGTGTGTGTGTGTTAGTCTTTTCAATATGTAGCACAGCGTGGTGTGAGCCTCGACCAACGGAACACAACCGTCAGTGTTGCAGGTCACACCCTGACTTGCTCACTGACTCTACAGACACCTGCGTGAGTCCACCCAACACCCTGTATATTATTATTATAATAATAAAGAAGAAGTGCTAAACAGCACCTTGTATATATATAGAGAGAACTATTCTCGGTGATGTTACATCACTTGGGTCGTCTGGCCTACGACTCCCACACACACACAGAGTCGTTCTCTGGCAATTATCACATCTACCGGCATCACTGAAGGCACCTTCGCCTGAGTCGTCCTTACTGCTCACCCACTCACCCCCGTCGACTTTGCGATGCCTGACTCACCACCACCACCACCACCAGGTCGTGTCGCCGGTAGTATGAACCCTGCAGTGACTGCCCTCACTGCTACCCTGTTACACTGTTCCAGTCGATGACACTGTCAGGCTACGCAGCTCAGCCGTAGCGATGTTTCCTGACGTGTTACATTTTTTGTAGGTCCAGTCTCAGGATGGTGTATTTGGGCCATTAACTAGTCAGTGTGACTAGTTATTAGTCTAAGTCGGACTGAAGCGTCTTCATAACTTTCTTTCTCCCATGTGCAGGTTATTTGTGTATTATTCCAGTCACGGTATTGTACCTTTTTGTTATTTATGGCGTATTTCCTTCTGCTAGAGTTATTGCTTGTAGTGGCGTCGTGTCTGGCTTGCTGTATCGCATCCACATTTTTTTTGCACACTCTCCCCTTTTTTTTCTCCCCTCCCCCTGTTAGGAAGTTTTTTGTTGTCAATTGTATGATATATTTTGCCATCCATGCCTAGCATCTGCTCCAGTGCTCTATTGCATACGACCGTGGGTAGTGCGCCCGAGCCATGTAACCCAAGTCGAGCTTGTACTTCGCGGCATGCTATCTAGGCCTGGTGCTGCCGTTTAGTGGATCGAGTTTAAATCTAAAGCTGACTCTCACCTGGGCAAACCTACGTACTAACATCCCCGCCACACACTCTCTCTCTCTAGACTTCGGCAGCACCACTACGCTGCTTCTACAGTATATCAATAAATCCTAAGGCTTGCCGCCAAAGATTATTTTTACGCTATAATGTAACTCATTACGATTGTGATAGGATATAAACATGTAAATAGTTCATTACCACTTTATGTACCTCTGTAACACTTTGATTACCGCCCACAAGTTGGATATGGACCGGGCAGCGGGGGCGCTGACCCCCGGAACTCTCTCCACGCAGGTAGACAAGTTACTACAAACCTTTTGGGATGTATAACTTCAGAAATAGATTTTCTTTGTGGAAGTCTAAAAGGAATGAGTAACGGGAAGATCACAAGCTGTCTTAAACGTCTTATATACTGTAAGATACTGATGACTGATGCTGTAAATAACTCCAGAGTTACTGCAAGGATTGAAGTTGAACCCTCACCATCCTGTGTGGAGGTGGTGGTGACCGTGTGTAAGAAACTCCAGAGCTGTTAACAGGATTGCAGTGGACCTTGCCTCTAGTTGATGTAGACTATTGTATGAACAATCACTCTCTGTGATGGCTGAGTTAGGCAAACAGCTCTTGCTCTGACCTTGTAAAATGTCATGTATATATAAAACGGTAGCCGTACCATGTCATATAACTAGCTTTTGCTAATAAAACAACTAACAGGTATACGCTCTGATCCTTTGTATGGACTGATGAAGCCACTGTGTGGCGAAACGTTTCCTCAAATAAAGATACCAAAGACTTGCACATGTGTCTAATTTATTAACGTGTCGGTTCTCTGAACAATTCAGCTACAATACTACGAATTTGTAAAAAGAAAGTTAATTCGTGATTAAATTCTTTCCGTTTACCTGCCTGAATAATCTA